TAAGCTATTCTGGCAAATGAACAAACCCAAGAAAAGGATCATAGGAACCTCACATTTGTAGCCATGTCAGACAGAAGCTGTGGGTCACCTGAGACCTATTACTTGCAATTGGCATCTGAAGTGGTCAGGGGAGTCTTGTTGGGCTGAACCCTTAACCTGTGGGATCTGCACTAACTCCAGTTAGTTTCAGAATTTAACTGGAAGATACCTAGCTGGTGTTGCAGAGAATTGCCTGGTCTTGTTTCCTAATCCCATTCTGTAATAAAAGGAACTAGGGCTCCTTGGAGAAAGGGCAGATTCTAGGGACTGGACACTGTAAGATGAACCTGGAGCCTCTTGTAGTTCCAAAAGTAAAAAACTGCTAAAATCAACCAAATAAGCCCACACTGATGGGGGTACATCAGAGGAGCCAGATGAAAAAGCTTCAATGGCCAAAGCTAGAACAACATGAGCAACAAAGTACAGCAGTATTGGATTACAACCCAAGGTATGAAGAAATATCCATTGAGTCCACACAGATATGAATAAATGGTTGAGTAAATTACTAAATGGGAGAGAAGAGACAAAGAATGCCAAATAACTTATACAGATACTTCACCCTAAAGGAGGGGAAGCAGAACACACAGAGACCTCCTTCCAAGGAGGACAGTATGGAAAGGAGGGGAACAGAGAGTAGTTTCACAGTACAAAAACCTGACAAATGCTACTTCAGCCATTGATCAATACCAACAATCTTAAGTTCATAGTATGTACCCATAATATGATATGACAATGGCAATTTACATCAGACACATTGCAATACAGGGAAATTCGACAGCACACCTGACCAGGACTCCTAGAAACTGTTGGTCATCAAAAACAAAGGAAGTCTGAGAAAACATCACAGCCAACAGGAACCTAATGAAACAATCACAAGTGTAATAGGAGATCCTGGAACAAAAAGGATATTAGGGAAAACTAAGAAAACCTGGATAAAGTATAGATTTTAGTTAATAACAATGTATCAATATGGATTCATTAACTAAAATGAATGTAACAAACTAAGATAAGATGTTAATAATCAGATAAACAAGATATAAGGTATATTGAAACTAAACTAGCTCCATAATCTTTCTGTGAATCTAAAATTACACTAAAAAATAAAGTCCATTAAAATTAAAAAAAAATAAGATCAACAGATCACAATAGCCAAGAAAGAAAACCCAGAACACATGTACTGCTGGTATATGAAACAGGGAATATTACAAATTTATGTCTAAAGGATGGACTTTTGAATAAGTGATGCCAGGACTACTGGCTGTTCACATTGGGAATTACATTGCTGCCTCGCGTCACATACAAATTATAGTTGGACTAAAATTCCAAATGTGCAAATCCAAGTTTTTAAAATTATTAGAAGAAAAGTTTAGTGATTATCTTCATGAAAAGAAGGGCCATATTAAGCAAAAGAAAAAAAAGCATTAACCATACAGAAAAGATTGATTTGTCTACATAAAAGTTTTCAATTTCTACAAAAGAAATGATACTATTTAAGGAAGAAAAAAAGGACAAATGACTGGCCATAAGAAATGGTGTTCAACCCAAAAGATTAATATACAAAATACAAATAGAGAAATTCTGAAAAATAAATAAGAAAATGATAAGCCAATAAAAAATGGGGAAAGGATGTGAATAGTCAATTCACAGAGGAATAAATGGCCATTAAACAAATGGATACCATATTTTCCCCATCAAATTGGTAAAAATATATATATATATATATATAAAAACTGATAACACAGAATCTTGGCAAGAATGTGGAGAAAGGATCTTTTTTTCTTTTTTATTGAATGTTTTGGGATGACATTGGTTAATAAAATTATGTATGTTTCAGGTATACAATCTGTAGCATTGTATGTTCACCACCCCAAGTCCAGTCTCCTTCCCTCACCATTTATCCCCACGTTAGCCTCCTCCAACTCAGGGGAAAGGATCTTTAATGCAGTCCATGGATTAAGTGGTTTAACCACTCTGAAAAACAATTTGACAGCATCTATTAAATGTGCACATCTTTTCTACCAAAATATTAGAAAAGGACCAAAACCAGGGTTTTCATTACCAGTAGTCTGGTTCACTATATTGTGACACTATGGGAAACAATGCATTATTAGCTTAAAAGAATGAGGCAGATATATAGATGTCTGTAGAGGCAGATACATAGATAGATATATAGACACACACTCCTCCCACGAAATACCTCTATAAGATACATTACTTGGTATAGAAATAAAGTTATAGAACAATCCATAGAGAACAATAGAATCTGTGATTTAAACATAAAGAAAAAAATACATAAAACCATATACTTATGTACATACATAAGTGTCTAATGTACAGAAAATTCTTGAAGAACACCCCTCAACCTGAAACAGAAAAGGAGACTAGGGATAGGGTGTGTAGGAAGAATCCCTTCCCTTATTAATCTAGGCATCTTTGATGAGAGCGTGTTTATGCATTACTTGTGGAATTCAAAGTTGTTTTGCTTAGTGAACTAAGCAGAAGGAAGAAGAGGGAGAAATGGTAGGAGTTTTTGTTGACAGCATTTTCCTACATGTGTAGTGTTGTACTGTTAGTCAGGTGACACTCTCCTGCCACAGGGGCATCTGCCCTTGAGTTATGCTCGCCATTGCTGTTCCCCCGGAGGACTGATAACGGGAACAACAGCAACGACATTGCTAAGCAACACTGCTTATGGCATACATGACCCCTGATGGCTAAACAGAAACTACAAGGAAACCATCACCAGCTGATGGGTACACCATACCTTGGGCTTCCCTAAATGCAGTGTGACTCTTGGAACAGACACATCTTTCCTGCCTGACTCAAACCTTGTTGAGACGTACAGGTCAAAAATATCACAAAGCCAAGGGTGAATCACATCAGCATCTTAAATTTGCACCAAGTGAGCCGACTATGTGTGGAAAAGTCCTTTTCAAATTCTAAATCGCCTATGTTCTTTTCCATGACTGACACCCAAACGGCCTCATAAACTATAAATACTCCATTTTAATCACTCCCTAAGTTAATGTAAGCTACACTATTTTGCATTCAATTAAACTAAGGCATTTTTGGTGAATACCAAGGCATAAAACTTAAATTCATTACACAACTATAGTAAATGTCTGATTCATATAAATTTTATCTATAATTCCCCAAGCCACTATGGAAAGTCAAATCATTCATTTTATATAGTACAACATAATGTGGGACTATGTAAAAACTGAAAGAAGAAAGAATTTTCCAGAGAAGCTAGCTACCAAGTTATGTCTTGAAAAAAAAATATTTTTTATGTAACTTAAAAATCAAAATCACTTCCTAAGAAAAACTAATCCTCAGTATAAATCACAGTCAGAAAAAAGCCCTTCTTGATGGATAAAAAGGAGACAAAACTTGCCCAAATATAAATGTAAATATGCTTAAAATAGCAAAGACAGTATTTGTAAGTAGTACAAATGAAAATGCCAATTAACATAATATGTCACAAAATCAAATTTGATTCAGCTTTATAAATATTGTGGTGCCAGTAACTGTCCAGTGTGAGGCAGCTATTTCACCTGGTTATAGAATGGTATTAACAGAACCGAATTCAGTCTGTTCAGTGCAACACACAGAACTTTTCTTGTTAGTCACACTCCAAGACACCACTTCTTTTGATGGGTTTTCAAAATACATGGCGTAGCTCCTCAACCCACTCACATTCTGTTTTAAAAGTTCTAGGAAGGGTCCCAGAATCTTTTAAAAGAGCCGATTCTGGGGAATCCCAGGAAAGGACTTCAAAGGGGCATTGACCCCAGCTCCACCCTACTCCCTGAATCAGGGCAGCAGCAGGGCATTTCACACAGACATATAAGCACGAGTTTTTTTCCCTTTCCTGGAAATCTTTATTCTAAGTATCACCAAGTCTTACAACTGATAATAATGTAAAATGTGTCTGTTTGTTTTAATTGAATCCTTTAATGACATATTTGAATAGTTTTTTAACTCTGGTTACAGAAAGAAAGAAAATGCAAGAATGAGATAGGGATAATGTTTTGTTTCTTAAAGAAAAAAGTGAGAAGTCTGAAGCAAGTACGGCAAAAAGTTTATATCTGTTATTAAATCTGAGTGAAAGTTAATAAGAATATCACTGGACAGCAATCTCCCCCTTATCTGTGGTTTCACTTTCCACAGTCAACCATGGTCCAAAAATATTAAATGGAAAATTCCAGAAATAAGTAATTCATTGTTTTAAATTGCCTGCTGTTCTGAATATCGTAATGAAATCTCGTGCCATCCCTCTCTGTCCTGTTCGGGACATGAATCACCCCCTGGGCCAGTGTCTCCATGATGTAGATATTCCCCACCTGTTCGTCACTGAGTAGCCATCTCAGTTCTCAGAGTGACTGCCACAGCCTCACAGAGCTTATGTCCAAGTCACTCTAATTCTATTTAATAATGCCACAGTCACTTAATTTTATTACAGTATGTTGCTATAATTGTTCAATTTTTTATTAGTCCTTGTTATTCAACTCTTATTGTGCCTAATTTATAAATTAAACTTTATCACAGGTATGTATGTATAGGAAAAAACAGTACACATAGGGTTTGTTACTGTATGCGGTTTCAGGCAGCCACTGGGTCTTGGAACATATCCTCCTCAGGTAAGGGGTGACTGTTGTGTCCACAACACTTTTCTGTATGTTTAAAATACTTAACATTTTTTAAAGAAATGTAAATAAATAACATTATTCCAAGAGAAATCACGAGCGGATCAGCATACACCATCACTGCCTAGAGGAAGCAGCAGCCAATGCCCTTTGATAACTTTTATCTTGGAAGGCTACACTGATTTTATGCCCCTCATCTTGTTTACAGAACAAGCATGACCTGCTTGCACTTGCTTAAAGCTACGCTGTTTTTCACTGTGAACAGGAAAATTTAAGTAAAGACGGGAGGAAAGTGCCCTTCTTGGGTTCACATACCTGTGTCACTCCCAGGTCCTGTTGACAAGGCTGGCATGATGCAGACTGCAGGCTGGATGCCGCACTCCAAACCAACGTTCTCGGCTCAGAAAGCCGCAGGGAATTCCAGCTCCACAGCCTGCAGCCACGCTGTCTACCAAGATTTATATATCGCACAGTCCGTTTCTACAAAGAAGAGAAACAGTTTAAAATAATAATAAAAACAAAGATTACTCAATTGCAACATTCTGTAACTAACTCATATTCCAACACACTTTAGGATTTTCCAGAATTTTTTCTACATGCTACGTACAAATATTAAGTGTGAGAGTTTTCCATTTTGATGTGACATTTCTAATTAAAAATACGAAAAGTTCTTCATGGATATATCAAGACTCCCTTAAAAGATTTTTACTGTTAGTTTGAGGATGCATAGATGGAGAAAGTAGAGAACCTTTTGTAAGCCAATACCATTCTAAAATTCCTCCCCTCTGTTAATCATAATTCTAAGTTACATTTCTAATGTAGAACAGAGACTATAAATTGTCAACTTATAGCTAATTATAATTTTTAAAAAGAGCTCATCTTAATATAACAACTGCAGAGTTCTCTAACTTAAGACTGCAAATAACCTTTGAAAAAATACTAGAATTGAAGCAAGATGTTATTATAGATTTACAGAAGTGTTCATAAAGTAAGCCTAACAATCCAAGCTAATATACAAAAGTAAATTTGTTTAGTAAAAACTAAGCTTTGGTGTATCTTGAAAAATATCAATTTTCAATAACTATTTTAACTAATGTGTATCCCAAATTAAATAGTATAAAAGTACTACTATATAGTAGCTAAGAGCAATTACTCTAGAGTTTGGCCTAATCTCAAATCCTGGGAGCTCTGTGATCTAGGATAAGTTATTTAATCTTATTAAGTGTTAAACTCCTTGTAGGCAAATGAAGATATCAGCAATTTAAAATTGTTTGATAATTAAATATGATAAGGCACAGAACACAACTGGCACATAGCAAGCAAATAAAAAATGCTGGCTATTATGACTGGAGTTGTCTAATTCAGGTAATGAGATTATAAAATGTAAACATAAAAGAGAGAAGCAAGATTAAAATCTACATTGTCCTGACACCTAGAAGGAGACCATGTGTTTTAAATTTAGACCACTGCTGCCTAATAATGGAAAATAGGCTGCATTTACATTTTTTAGAAATCAGAAGAACTAAACAATGTGTTTAAGTTCTTTTTTAATGGATTTTCCCCAGTTCTTTTAAATGCAGTAATTTAAAAGTCCATTTTAACATATATTATAAAAAAAACAACAGACATTGTAAACACCCAAAAACTACCTCACTTCAATTCTAACGCTTTTAAATTGATGATTCATATTACAGAATAACAAATGAGCTTGCCAAATTTCACTGGAAAAAGTCCAAACTGTAAAATTCTATTAAAGCCTTTTAAATTAGCTTTTTAATTATCAAAGTGAATGTTCGTAGGAAAAAAGTCACCATCAAATAGACTACATTAGACCAGACTATCTGGTGCAATGACTTGAATTTTGTTTGCTCTTATTACAAAGGTTGACAGAGTCAAAGTATGCATATAAATCCATATGGAGAGGAGTGTTAATTACAAATGAGGGCAATTATTTTAAATACCAAATAAAAATATAAATCACTAAACTAAAAATAAGAAAATAAGAGAGAAAAAGCAAAGTTTCATTAAGGGCCATCACTGAAGCTGTTTCCCCCAATAATTAAAAGGCAACTCTGCTTTGCTTTGTATAAATTATTCTAACAATCAGGATAAAAATTCAACTACATAAAAATGTTCCTAAATGCAAACACAAAGAGAGTAAAAAACAGACCATACATAATTTGAAGAATGCATTTAATTATTCTACTTTTGTTTTGCTGCTGAGAAAAAAAGAGATGGTTAGAATTTGTAATGTATATTCACACACATTTCTACAATTAGGGCAATATATATGTATGTATGTGGGTAGGCAGTTATTATATGTGTCTGTCTGTAATTTAAGCTCTTTATGCCATGAGAAAAGTTCTAATTTCTATGAAACAAATTGCTTAACTACAGAAATACATATACCATGCAAACTACCACTTTCTTCGTGCCTTAAAAAACTTACAATGTTTCACTTTTATAAACCACAAATACCATATAATAAGGAAACATGCTTATGTCAAACAAACGGTCTATTAATACTAAAACAACCTTACATTCCACATCAAAATAACCTTCTGAGTTGATACTGCTGCTGTACATATATTCCATATGTGAAAAGCCTTAGCATTTCTCACTTTATTTCATAATGAACACTCAAGGTTAAATTTTTCCAAAGTTATATTATTTAAGAAATACATGCTACAAAGTAATTATCTTCTCAGAACATATATAAATATATTAAGAAATAGTTTGATGTAATTCCACCACTAAAATGCTCAATATTTTATAAAAGAAAGCAGAGTTGCTGGTTTTAACTTTCAAACTGAGCTAATCATGTAGTTGTTGTTTTTTGCTCAATCTACTGAAAATGCATTGGAATTTGTAGAACCCAGCCATAATTATCACTGACCATTGTATGGAATCAATTTTCTACAACACAAAAATACCAGCTGTTATAGAATGTCCTGAGAGGGATTACGGAATATTCTTAAATTGAAGTTCAATCCATCTTTCCATAAAAAAGAGAGAGCCAGGAACATAGCGGTATAAAGTGCACCTGAAGCATTTACAATACCCAACAGAACTATTACAACCTTCCTTTAAAAAGGCTTATTTTTGAAATTTCATTATTCCAGTTGTACCTTGCTTCTATATATCACACTGTATCAAGTTCTTCTGGCATCTATCATGTGGAAACAGTGAAATATGTGAATGTCTACAAGCTTACAATGTTCGATTTCTACTGGCCATGGGTACCCTTCAGACTGCTGTGGCACTCATGACATCTAGTGGTCAGTCACAGGAGTGCAAGTGTTTGTAGCAAAATTTTCTGAGTTTTCAGTAAGCAAAGATTATCTTAATTGCACCATGAAATAGTCATCAGCAAAAAAAAAAATTAAAAAAAATTAAATAGGCATACACACATTAAAGAAACACATCCTTTGCTTAAGTGTCTCCTCTACCTGCAATACTCATTATACTAGTACAACAAAACACTACTTTATTTCTGTCACCAGATGTGGTTTTTAAACATCAAGCAATTCTGTATCATCAGCCATTGCCCTAAAATTCAATTCAATTCTGACATTTTCTACCTGGAATTGGCATCACATCCCACAGGTTACATACTCAGCCATACAACATTGCTCTTGCCCCTTCCCATGTCAATACAACGTCCAGGTTGTCACCATGCTTCTAATCCAGGGGTGGGAAACTTTTTTTCTGCCAAGGGCTATTTGGATATTTATACCATCATTCGCTTAATATAATTCACTTAATATAAATTTACTAGAGGCCCGGTGCATAAATTTGTGCACTCAGGGGGGGTCCCTCAGCCCGGCCTGTGCCCTCTCACAGTCTGGGACCTCTCGGGGGATGACCACCTGCTGGCTTAGGCTCGCTCCCCGAGGGATTGGGCCTAAGCTGGCAGTCAGACAACACTCTGGCAGCCGGGAGCCCTCGGGGATGTCCACTTGCCAGCGGGGAGCAGGCCTAAAGTGCAGTCGGACATCATTAGCGCTGCTGAGGAGGCAGGAGAGGCTTCCACCACCACCGCTGTACTGGCAGCTGTCAGCCTGGCATGTGGCTGAGCAGAGCTCCCCCTGTGGGAGTGCACTGATCACCAGGGGGCAGCTCCTGCATTAAGCGTCTGTCCCCTGGTGGTCAGTGTGTGTCATAGTGACTAGTCATTCCCAGTCATTCTGCTGTTAGGGTCTATTTGCATATTACCATTTTATTATATAGGATAGAGGCCTGGTGCATGGGTGGGGGATGGCTGGTTTGCCCTGAAAGGTGTTCTGGATCAGGGTAGGGGTCCCGCTGGGGTGCCTGGCCAGCCTGGGAGAGGAGCTAAGGGCCATTTTCAGACTGGCCACACCCCCTTGAGGGTGGGGGGTCCCCACTGGAGTGCCTGGCCAGCCTGGGTGAGGGGCTGAGGGCCGTTTTCAGGTTGGCCACACCCACTTCAGGTAGGGGGGTCCTGCTGGGTGCCTGGCCAGCCTGGGTGAGTGGCTGATGGCTGTTTGCAGGCTGGCCACAGCCCCTTCAGAGTAGGGGTCTCTGCTGGGGTGCCTGGCTAGTCTGGGTGAGGGGCTTATGGCTGTTCGCAGGCTGGCCAAGCCCCCCAGCGGGGACCCTCAACCCATGAGGGTGTGGCCATCCTGGGTGAGGGGCTGATGGCTGTTTGCAGGCTGTCCACAACCCCCAGCCACCCAAGCTCCCAGTGGAGGCTGGCTGGAAGCAGGTATCTGGGATTTATTTATCTTCTATAATTGAAACTTTGTTGCCTTGAGTGGAGGCCACAGCTGGCCAGGGCAGGCGGGAAGCTTGGCTTCCTCCATCACTGAGGCAACCAAGCCTCCTGCTTGCTCCAGCTCCATGGCTGCCGGCCACCATCTTGGTTGGGTTAATTTGCATATAGTCGCTCTGATTGGCTGGTGGGTGTGGCTTGGACGTGGCAGAGGTGCAATTTGCATATTTCTCTTTTATTAGATTAGATTAGATGTTGCTATGAAAAAGGCTCCTTGTGGTTGCCTTGGCAGGGCCAGAACAAATGATGTCACGGGCGGGCCTTACATGGCCCAGGGGCCGAACGTTACCCACCCCTATATCAATTAACTATAAATGAGAGGTGCCCGAAACCCCTTCCATCCTTAGGGTTGATTACTTTGCTAGAACCACTAAAGAACTCAGGAAAACATTTCCTTAATAGATGACCAGTTTGTTATACACTCAGGCATAGCCAGAGGACGAGATCCTTTGAGCAAGGTATTTGGGAAGAGGCCCTCTCTCTCTCTGCACCTCCCTACTTTCACAAACCCAGAAGCTCTCTGAACGCTGTCCCTGTGCAATTTAATGGAGATTTCATTACATAAGTGTGACTGATTAATCATTGGCCACTGGCAATTGATTCAATCTCCAGCTCCTCTCCAGTGGGAGTGGAACTGAAAGTT